TAGCCAGTTGATGACTTTTCATTTTCAGACTGCTGGTGTGTGTTCACACAGGAGTTTTATAACTCAGATGCTGAAACTGTGAAAGTTCATTCGTTTGTCATCATCTCTGTGTTCTATATTTTAACTTCTGTTTAAAAAAAAATTACAGTAACAACTAATTTTATATAATTGTTTAATTCAGTTGTGTAGTCAGTTTTTGCATTAAAGATTTCATATGGAAATAACACAATATAATTTAATTCTAAAACCTATATACACTGCCTGCACTTCTGTTTATTGAAAAATGTATTAGACATACCCTATTCTTGGTAAGGAAGCAATTTCTAGCATATCTTTCTGCTGAAATACCTTCCTAAAACCAGTACCAGAATTTTGGTTTCTGCACTATTGAACTGTAGTCTATATTACACATGGATCTTTTGACCGTCTAATCAGATTATGTTCCATTAATCCAACTCATTTCCTATATTTTGGAGGTGTGTATTCTACTGATGGTAGTGGATAGGACCTTACAGTAAATGTTTGTACATTACTTGAAAGTCTGGAGAGCTGTGAGTTTCAGAGGAAGACAGGAATAGACAGTATCAGTTCTTATGTGCTTGGATAAAGTTACTTTAAACTGATTCTGATTAAAACTTACTGCTAAGAAATTATTATCTTAGCTAAAGAGATTGTATAAATAAAAATAGTTGTATTTTTTTACTTATCTAAGCTTTACATATCCACATATATAGTTAGTACATTAACAAGTCCAAGCCTTATGTTCTATGGATGAGAACTGGTGATGGAAATTTGAGTTAGGCTATTATCAGGCCATCAGTTCTCACTGAATGTCCCACTGACTTGGTCACTGCTTGACAAGACTTTCTGTTATTCTTTTTGTCTTGCCTGTGGCAACACTTAGTACTCATGAGGCAGATGTGATCTGCTCTGTGTTCTCCCAACCTTGCAGATTTTAAATTCTTTGCATTTTCTGTACATAAATAGCAGACTGTGTTTCCAGCAGCTCAGTGGGAGTCACCTTGTTTGCAATGTCTGTATTTAGCTGGTTTGAACAGAAAATTTTAGGGTCATTTTGAATATCTTATTTTTTGTTCTTGGAAGTCTTGCATCTGATTTTAGCACCTGTGAACAATGCACAGTGCAGAGCCCCAACAGGAAAACCGGTCCATGAAGAGTTATGGTGTGCACAGCAAAGACAACGTACGTCTCTTCTGCTCATGACCAACACCAAGAGCTGTAAAGCTGATGCTTCTGTACAGACAAAGGCAGGGAAGAAAGTTTATTAGAAAAAGGCAGAAGGAAGGGGCACACTGAGGTCCTTTTGGCTGCAACAGAAAACCAATGTGCTCTGCAGCATTTCTCCCCCAGTGCTGCTGGAGCTGCCCAGGAAAGCTGAAGTGCCCAAGGAATGCACAAATCAACATATCTTTGTTAGGGCTCTCACATATCAGTGACTACAGTGGGGATTAAAGCTGTATCCTAAGAGATGCACTGGAAGAAGTGCCACTTTCAAGCTGAATCCTTGCTCTGAAAAGGCAGCCTAGTAGATCAGGGTACTGTAACTTAGTGCTTCTCTGCATCTGCCCTGGTGAAATTAGGAGCCAAATCCTTAAATATGTTGGCTTTACAATGAACTCCAGGTTTCCTCTCCTCTTGAGAGTGATGCTGCAGTAGATCCCTGACCACACCAGAGAAGATGAGGTAACGCAGCCACAACAGAAATTGTGTAAGGAGAGTGCAGGACAGACACCCTTGAATTCCCATCTCAGCAGCCTTGTCTTTGACTGGAAACAAGATATAAACCTCTCCTAGGACAACAGAGGAAATACCTCAAGCAGGAACTATGCTGTGAGTGCTCTGATAGCTCATCACTACAGTAGGATATATTAAAAGGCCGTGCCTCATGCTAGAACTTAGTGAATGACATAGGAAGGAAAGATCTTGCACAGTTATTATTATTTTTAATTCCATTATAGTTTTAGCTGAATCATGAAGGCATTTGAAACATTATGGGGAGTGCACTAAAAACAGAAGATGAGCTAAAAGGACTTGGCAGTGCTTAAATGTGTTTCAGCTCTTTCCCAGACTGTGATGCAGTCTATAGAAAATGCAAACACACTTTGCCCGGAGACTTCTAGTGCTGCAAATTAGGTGTAAGAGTGAGCCGAGGTAGTAATCCTGTAATGCTGTATCTGAGTGCTCTCTGAAATGTACCTTTTATACTATTTTAAAAATACTTTTATTGTTATAATGCATGTGAAGATTGTTGGGCAGCCAGCTCCAAATAGGCACAGAGAGGGGAGGTGCAGGAAGCAAATATCTCCACATCACATTGCTGGTGGGCCTCTCTCCCAGACATAGCAGCCCCATTAAGGATTTGTCCTTGTGTCTTGTTCTGTCTTGTTTTCTGGCTCCCTTTGAAACCTGCCAGGAAGTAGTTTTGTTGGTTTGTTTCTTCATAAGATTGTTTAACTTTTTCCTCATATACCATTGATAGCAATGCATTTGAGACATAATTCCTTTAGATAGCAAAGTCCAGCAATCTAGAGCTGAAATGCACCACCATAATTCTTTGAGCATTTAATGTTTTAGTAAATTTTCGCTCTCTGAATGTTTTTTTTCAAACTATTTTATCATTAAAGTAAGAAACTTTAAGCCTTTGAAATAATTATAGCTCCTGTAATCAGTAACATATACTATAATTGTAATTGCACAATTTAATACATGAAATTTCAGAGATAGCTAGAATAGATATTTTATGGCAAACAGGTTTTTTTATAGAGAAACTTGACATTTAAAATATGTCATTTATTAATATATATAGTAGCAAAGCAGCTGGAAAACATTTTTCTCACATTATCTGAGACTGAGAAAACAAAAATCATTTTCTTTTAAGTATGAAAATTCGAGAGGAAAGCCACAACTTCAGATCCCTGTTTATGTCCTTCCTTCCCCCCCCCCCTCCCCCTTGTAACCCTGTATGTATGTATATATCCCTGGTATGTATGTGTGTATATATCCCTGGTATGTCTGAAGCTGTCACTGAAGATAACAGCATGTCTGCTCATGAAGGACTTGTGAAACTGGATAATTAGACTGTCCTGAAAACAACTCTCTAATTGTCCTTAGTGAAAGCAGCATCTGCCTCTCTAACATCAGTGTCTTAGCCTTAGTTGTGCCAGCAGAACTGCTGCAATTGCACTTTGGCTCTAATTGTCTGTGGAAGTCTACAAAGCAAATTATGTTTTGTCTTTGTGGGAGTAGTGAAGGCTTAAAAATGATCATACAAAACACTGAACATCAGTATTCTGTGCATCTCTTTCCTTTGTTTTGGTAAATGAAAGTGAGCATTTCACCTTAGCACCAAAAATATTCAGACTGAGAGGGCCCAGAATAACCTGATCTTGGGCTCTGCTTCTAGCAGCAGGAGGGACCAGGTATCTCCAGAAGGCCCCCACCAAGAAGACTCTTCTGTGATTCTACAATTCTAAGTTAATGCCAACTAAAACTATCACAAGAAATCAAACAGGAAAGTTGCTAGCTACTTGCTGTCAGCTGGAAACCACTGCAGTTTTGATTTGAATGAAGAGGGAAATTTCAACCCTCACTGAGAATTATTTTTGATCCCTGAGCCAACTGGATCCTTCATTTTTAGTGTATCCTCACCTCCTGATCTTTATCAGGTCCTTCATAAAGCAGCTTCCTAGTGTGCTTACCTCTGCTCAGAAATGCCCCTGTGTTCCAGTAATGTGTCACAGTTTTCATTTGTAAAAATCAAAGCCAAGCAAGTATTCCATCCCTGACTGGCTGGTTTTTTCTGCTGTGTATGGCCAGAGCATTATTCTTATCCACGATTCTTGCTCTTTCCCTGCCTCCTTCGCTGGCACAGGTGGAAAAGTACTCAGTGACTGAATAAGCTTGTGGTGAGCTGTGAAAATCCTTAGTGCTCTCAGTGGCTTGAGGAAAGAACACATTTGCAAATTCCTCTGACTTTTACAAAGGGGTAGGTTAAGCCAGTGGTTGCTGTGTATCATTTCACACACTTCTTTTGAATTAACACAAAATGACAAGTGAAAATAATTATATTCACAAGAGAGTACTATTGATATGATTGACCAAATTATTTTTCTGGTCTTGGAAGAAGGCACAGATTTTGTACCCTGAAGTAGTATTTGGCCTCTGAATTTTAACCACCTAAAAGTGAGGTAACTAGAATCATCTTTCCTTTTGCTAAAGTTAATGGAGAAAAAGTGTAATCTCGAGTAAACACTATATCCTGCTTAAGTAGGATAGAATTAAATGCCCATTGATATGCTTAGCATGAGGGAACTGAGACAGCTGGCTTAAATGTGGATGTTCTCAGTATCTGGAGTCATGCAAAATGAAGCCCACCAAAAGAAATCACAGTCTAAATCTGCAAACCCAACCTGAGGTGCAAACCTTCTTAGCACACCAGAGAAGCTTCATGAAGGTGTGGGCATCTGCGTAGCATCATCATCAAAAAATCTTCCTATAAGATTTAGAAGATTCTAAACCTATCAGATTTAAAAAGGATTTCAAAGATCAAAGGCAACTGTTTGATACATGAGAAGAGGAGAGCAGTTCTGGCATACTGTAACAGAGATCGAATTATTGCATCCACCCCTCCTGCTACCTCCACCCCCAAAATCTGAAAACTTCCTGATTTGTGTTCATCAATAATTAAGAGCCCATCAGCAATACTCAGAGGGAGCTTGCATTGCACTTCTGAGCAGCCAGTTAGTAATATATGGTGGAGAGATCCTCTTTTTCAAATCCCAGGGCTCCAGGCCATGCAATGCTAGTATTGCATTTTCAATTAGCTTCTGAGTGAATGCTTGGCATATGTAGAAGTGAGCTGGTACACAATTAGCTTATTGTTCCTTTCAGCTTTCTGCTGAGAGGATCTGAAGGACTGCTGAAGAGAGGGGAGAGGGGAAAAAAAAAAGAAAATAGCCAAGCTAGTGGCATCTCTGTGGATGTGGAATAAGGGAGTTGCTCGACTCACGCAGACTCCCGAGCTAAGTCGGGAGTTACAGCTGTTACTGCAGAGCACTCAGCCTGGCTGTGGGGAGGGCGCCTGGGGAAAGGGGCAGACCCAGTCTCAAGCTCCAGGCTCTTCTCTCGTCTGACTCACCGCAGCATCACAATGGAGCCCAACAGTCCCAAAAAAATACAGTTTGCTGTGCCCTTGTTTCAGAGTCAAATAGATCCCGAGGCAGCTGAGCAGGTAAGGAAGACGAGTTTCTTTCACTGTTTTGAGGGAAGGGGGTAGGAATGGGGGCAAGATGTGGGGTGAGAACAGGTAATACTTGTTGCCTAAATGGTTTTCTAACTTATATTAGTGAAACTGTAGATTAAATGCTCTGGAGGTTGTAGCAATGTCTAGGTATACCTAAAGAGGGAGAAGGATATGTCCTCTAGCCAGAATATGGCTTCTATAACTTGGGTAGGTTTATTCAGTATATATTTATTGTGCTTTTCTGTAACTGCGCTTGTACCCTAATACATACACTTCAGAGGAATACACATTCTCAACAAATCAAGTATATTATTTGTACATAAAGCAAAACATGAAGCTGATAATAGGTACCTAACAGAAATATTGGGTAGAAGACATCTTATTTCCCATTTATTTTACATGAGAAAATACTAGTTATGTTTTACACTATAGCCATCACTTCAGTTACTTCCCATATATCTCATTTTTATATAGTCTTCTTTTTGTCATTCTTACAGTGGTTTACATGTTTGAAAAATATACACGTATAGAAATATGCCTGACTTTTGTCCACTGGAATGATGCATGTGCTATTTTAGGTTTTGACTCACTCCCAAAACACACACATAATGTATATATGTGTAGCAATACAGACATCTAAGGAGAAAATGATACCTATTACTGTGTACGGATGTGCATAGATGTGCATAAAAAGAGTCACAGGGAGTCTTGTGAGAAAAACGGGATAAATCCTAATTAGGTGACCCAATACATTTCTCTCAGTGCAACTCATTCTCAGCATTTGCTTCTATTTGGGTAAGTCTAGTTTTAGATGATACCAGGGGAATATTATAACCTTGACCGTTCCATTCCATTAGCTATGAAATTCTTTATACCTTTAGGACAGGTATCTGATTTCCTGAATATTCTGATGTCATGTCTCTTGAAAGGAAGACACCTTTGCCAGAAAACAATGAGTTTTGAGTGACCACTGAATGCAGAAATATTAGAAGGGTGCAGAAGAGAATTGCTGCAGGTCTTCATTTTGCCCATAGGTACTTCTGAGATGCAAAATGTCCATGCTTTATTGAACAGTTCTGCAATGAATTCAAGCAGAATGTGTTTTGGTATTTTTCTGAAATCTATGAGAACCATAGGATTAGGATTTCCTGGAATTCCCATGGCTTTTGAAATGCGGTGGCCCAAATTCTGCCTGGTATTTATGAGCAGTCCTTTTTTTTGTGTGTGTGTTGTGAGTTTAGTTCCAAGTGTGATACAGTTTCACTGTGGCCGTATGATGAAATTAAAATGGTAAATTCTGCTGTCAGCTACAGTTATGTTAATCTGGAATAAACCCATTAACCCTGATTGATGTAATTTTCCACTTACACCTCTGAAAGCAAAATTTGAATCCAACTAAATACAGATGTTGGATCAGCAAATAAAAAAGAACAAATGCATTGACATTGAGGTTTCGTGTCAGAATGGTTTCTATCTTAAATACTCTTGGTCCCTCTCTTAAATTCAATAGAATATCAAGCCTGGAGGCCTTAGTGAAACAACAAAAAGCTTTCAGTGCAAATGTGTGCATTATAGGAGGGTAGTCCAATACCATGCAGTTCAGCCACTGTTAATGGAACAAAAGTAGTTACCCAGATAAACTCTGAATACGAAAAATTTCATACAATTCAGGATTATATATCGGTATGTAAAGATCTGCTGTATAGTGCTTTTCGGAAATACTCTTTTGAAAGTCTTAAATACTGGAGTTTTTTTAGTTAAAGAACAGTAGTAACACCTCTGGTCACACTTTAGAAATATAAATTCATTGCAAGGCATACCTGTAATATCAACTCAGAAGTGCACTTGCAAAATATTACTAATTATTACTTGTGAGAACTGTGACAGCACTAGGGATTTGCACATACAAACTCACAAACTACTGCAATCATCTTCCTGACACAAAGCTAAATGTCAATATTTTAAGATATGACTGATATTTGTCAGCAATACATGTCCAAAAACTTAACTCAAGATGATTACAAATCCTAAAGGTATTTTGGAAAGCTCTCCCCATGCCTTTGCTCTGCCCGTACAAGCAAGAGCATGACCCGGATCACTGTCAGACCACACAAACTGTCAGAAAGACAGTGAAGTGCTGCTGTTCTTTAAATAGTTTCTTTTGTAACTTTGCCTGGTCTATGCTCAGGAGAACACTAGATGGATTTTTTGCTTTGCTTTGTGTGCGGGGCAGTCGATGGACCCTAATGACTCTCCTTGGTTTACACCTGTTACAGATCAGGAAAAGAAGGCCTACACCAGCATCACTCGTCATCATGAATGAACATGTGCCTCCAGGTAGGTGCCAACATACCTTCTAGATCACTGAACTTGTATGCACAGGATTGTCTGCAAACTGGTTTTATTAACTACATGATTTTAAAAATACGTCATTAATGTCGCAGCACTAAATATCAGATAAAGATCTTAGGACTGTTTGGAGTAAACCCCATGTGTAATTCCTGGCCTTCAGATAATGTCAATATTTTCACAATTTTATACTCCATGTAAATGTTTTGTTATATGTACAAAGAGAATTACTATGACCCAGATCCAGCACTTCCATCCACAAACATTTTCTTTCCTTGGGCGGAGGATTTGGAGACCTACAAAGTCCAATCTCTAGAGATGCCAGGGTAGTTCCAGGGCTAATTCAGCCAAGGGAATTGCTTCTATGAAACAGGTTCTTTTCTAGTTTTCTGATGAAACATATAATGTGTGTTTTCATTATTCCTGTTCAACTGCAAATACATTATATTCATCCAAGACTCCCCCCAGAAAACTTTCGATGGGATGACTTGAGATTGCAACATACTTTGTCACATAAATGTGACTTCAGAAAAATTCTTTAATAAGCTATTTAGGCAGTATTATAAGCAAAAAAGCTCCGCAAAAATGGAAAAATCCCTACCATATAATCCCTTTGAAACACAGTGCCTACTTTATATCAAATTTTTCCTTTGTAGTGGTCTGCAACATTTTTTCCTGTCTTATCTCTCAATCACCTGATTCTCTTTTTAAAACTGGTTCAGGCTTTTTCTCACTGATGTGTCTCTAAGACCATTACTGTGTGCCCTGGCACCTCAGTGAAACAAAACCGTCTTAGGTCTTTCAGGATCTCCACTTGTTTCACTGTACCGCAGGTCCTCAGGTCTGATCAACATCACCAGTAGCTGAAATTCCTCAGAAACATACAGATAGAAGTATTCTGAGAGCCTGACTCTTGGAGTTGAGGTCATTGCAGTTCAGCACACAGATCAGGGAAGTTCAAGCATGTCATATTGTTAAGGTTATCTTCTGACACTGAGAGTGACCCATGTAACCCCAATCTCAGTTTGGAGAGTAGCTTTCTGGCCTGAATTTCAGGCAGTTCAGCTCTCAGTAACGGTGCATGAAAAATCTGCCTTACACTGACTTTCCTTACCCTAATGGGATCTACAGTGTCTATGTTGCTAGGACTTTATTTAAAACAAATTCACCTTGACTGTTAATCTCTTTTGCAATTCACCTTGTACACTTTGTACCATCACATTTCCTTTTATAAACAGATACTTGGTACAATACCAAATCAAAACCAAACAGATAATAAGAACTCTTTAATTTACGGGAAATTTTACTTTAAACAAAGTGGTCCATGTCTGTTATCACCTTTCCTGCAATGTTCATAATAAATCTTTAAATAAATCATTTTTATTATGAGTCAGGATTGCTGTAAGTCTCAGTCAACTTCCATACAAGCCCAACTTAGTATTCATCTTCACTTATTTATATTTATTAATTTAGATATTATCCACTCTTTCAGGATACTGGGAACTAATCTTAATGATGTTATTCTTTGGTTATATTATAATCTTGCCCTATTTTTAAAATTTTATATAAAGTCAGATAAAAATAAAACTTTAACAGCAGCTCCATTTTCCTGTCCTTCACTGCACGGTTCATGCATGAGCACCTACATGGGTATTTCCATGTGGTGAGCTTGATATGGGCGAGTGTTTTGAATAGGTTGTGTGGAGATGGTTGTGTAAACCTGCTGAATACAAGGATTGTAAAGCCAGGTTGGAAAGGCAGACAATAGATTTACAATGGAAGTGCAAATGCTAAAAAAATCCTTATGGTCTCGATCTTGCAAGGTACTGTACAGCTTCTGAAATTATTGTATACGTTCAAATTTCCAAGTCAGCTAGTCCTAGGAGTTCTTGACACCTTGCTGATTTAACCCCAAAATGCTGATCAGTTATTGGATTTTGAATAGAATTCAGTGAGATGCTAAATGCAATTTGTCTCCAAAAATAGTAAATTAATCACTACACATGTTTGCAGGTAATAAAAGAATAATAATAGTAAGGCTGCTAACCTGACACTCAAAAAAATTGCTTTAGAAGCATTCCCTAGATCAGTGGCAAAACTGAGCAGCATAGAATTCCAGTGATACTGTCAAACTCACCTTTTTTAATTAGAGCTGGGCTAAACTAGAATCCTGTCTCTTGGATTTTACGCACTGGAGTACTCTACTTCCTTCATTAGGAGCAAACAGCTAGTGAAGGATATGCTTCCAAGAGTTTGAAATGTGTGTCCTAATGCAATTCTAAATGTTTGGATACCCCAGAAGAGTTTACTCTAATTATCTAAACTTTTTTTTGAAAAACAGAGACAGGCATTTTCTAAGAATCAGACTTTTCTATAGCTTTTTGTTACAGCTGCTTCTGATTGCAGCAGGAAAAAAAGCAGCATTTTTGGTGGTATTCTGATCTAGATGTGGATCCATCTGGAAACCAGAAGGCAGTAAAATGTGTTTGGACATTTCAGAATTTCATAATAAATTCAGTTTGCATTCTTCTGTACAAAGATCTAAAAGTTGTTTTCTACTGAGTCTTCCCATCCATCCCTGATATCTGCTACAGCTTTGACAGGAATATGTCTTCACCGACTTAGGTCAGGTCAGTTGTGCTATAAAGTGAAGATGGAATATCTACTAAGGCTACATCATTTTAAACTAATGACATGTACTCAAAAATTATAAGAAGAGTCTGCTTGACTTCCTTGCTTCCAAAGAAACAGTGTTAGACTACACCAAATGATTTAAAGGCAGGTGATATATGTGACTACAGGAGTTAATATCCAGCCTGTAGCATCATTTAATGTTGCATTTTCTGATGTTCACTCCGATTGGTGTAAAATATAATTACAATCAAAGTCAACAAAAGAGAAATTTGAATTGCAGCAGTAACAGTGATTGCAGTAGACAGTGTGTTTGTGAAGCAACAGACTCTTTAGGGATGGTCCTGTGCAGCACTAAGAGTTGGACTCGATGGTCCTTGTGGGTCCCTTCCAACTCAGTATATCCTGTGACTCTGTGACAGCAGTAAATAAACTCTTAACTCTTTCGGTAAGTGCTCTGTAAAGAGCTCTTTGATGGGTTGTGCCACATCTGAGCAGAGAAGCTAGCACTAGCAAACTGAGATTCGAATTATGAAGTTGCTTAAATCTATTGTGCTTCAGTTGCTATCAATGGAGCTATGTTTTCTGAGCATCTGATGTTTGATTTCATAATATCTAATCAGTTTTACTTTTATTTGACATTATAAGACTGTTTTACTATCTGTGAAAGCAAAGACAAGTATAAGGTGATGGAACAACAAAAATGAGCAGCATCTCATCCTGTGCAGGATGCTGCATGTGTTACTGGGGTAACCCACTCATATTATGCTATAGTCAGAGTTGCTTCATGTCTGCCTTTTATAAAAGGGACATAAACACGTTTAGTTTTAAAGACATATTTAACTATTATGCTGCATGAGAATTTAATTCAAAAGTTGTTAAAGATCTCCTGCTTCATATTTCTCTTGCAATATCATTGGAGCCAACAGAAACTGAATATCACCATACCCTAAAAGCAACCTTTTCTGTACATGCATAACCTCCTGTCTCCTTACCAAACATAGCAGGATATATATGAAAATCAATTCTTATTATCTGAAATAAAAGTCTGACCATGCTTTAAGCTAGCAGAATATCATACTGCAATGGTTCAAGAAAAAGCTGGTGGCAAAGTGGAGAAGTGAAAGCATGTCAGACCACAACTCAGGTTTAATACCATTAGGGCTCACTTTGATCAGAAAACAATGCCAGTGTTCCTGTACAGACTGGCTTTGTCACAGGGCCAACACAAGATCAAACAGTCTGGCTGGCAAAGACTGTTCAACTTGTGTCAAAGTGTTCAGTCTTCTTGAAGCATTAGAATATGGGTAAACATTAGGATAAACTTCTGTGTTTCTAAATTTTCTACATATTTGCTGTTTCCATCTCTCACTTCTACTTTGTTGCCTCTTTTGGCTTCCTTGCCTGTAATGTAAATGTTACTCAGTTTTTGGAAATAAGAAAAACGTAGTAACATGTTTTGATATCATTTCTCCAGTGCTGCCTTTTTGCATTTTACAAATCTCATTTCAAGGCAGAAATGGTATACTATCAGTGCAAAAGCAATATAAAACAACTCAGTACCTCTGAGATTACTGAACACTGGAAATCATAACTTGAAGAAAAGCAAGCTGTACCTGTCTTCAAACAAGGAACATGCTTGCAGCTTATCTTTTGGCATTAGCAGGTTTGCTTTCTTGTTCCTAGCTGATTTTCCATTATCCAGAAAGAGATTCACGCCTTTCAGATTACTGCCATTTCCCCAGAGATCTGCTGAGATGCTTCATGAGCAGCCTGAGTATTTAGTGCAGTAGCAAACAACACAGCCGGGTGGGTGGTAGAAAGAAAAACTGTCCTTACACCTGTGTCAATTCCATGATAACCCAAGTAGTTAAGGTTTATATACTAAATTGGTTTTAGGCACTCCTGGACTTTCCCTGCACAATAAATCTCATTACCACATACAGATGTGCTTTCCTGGTGATGCAAACTGTGCCAGAACCACATCCTTGAGGGGATAAATGTGATATGCTTTGCACAACAGTAATGTTTGTGAGTAATATAGTTAGATAATGCTTCTAGGTGAATACATATGTTTGTTTTATATATAATGGTCACATGTTTTTTTTTCTCCCAAGAAAAAATAAACTGTGGTCAAAAAAGACCAACTATGTAAGAGGCAGCTGTTTCTGGGCATTGTCAAGCAGTTCGGTTATATTTTCTCAGGGAAAAATCTCACTGAAACTTGAATCAGCAGAGAACTCTTGGTCTCAGAGTTCATGAAAACCGATATGTTTTTCCAAAGCTTGAGATTCTGGTAGGACATACTGCTTACTTTGGTTCAAGAACTAGAAAGTGAGTGAGCCAAATAGCAGCTG